CCCCAAAACCCCAAAACCCCAAAACCCCAAAACCCCTTTTAAGGCTATACTGAATGAAACTTTAGCTTATCAATATCTGATAAGGACAATTTTGATTCACTGATTATTTTTGTCTGGATTAATAATCAGACTGCTCTCTAGGTTTCAGGATATTCATTAGATTATCTCTCTCAATCTCTTCTTCCACTATAAGTAAGGTAAATGAGCAAATTTTATAAGGAAATAGCATCCCAAGAGATTATATCCGAGTTGAAAAGGAAATGTACCTAAGTGTTCTCCAAATTGCTCTACTTTCATCTTGAGGTCCATCATCATCCTTATTTTCTGGTCTAGCATTGCATGGAGGGTCTCTACATAAGACTTGATGTCTGAGTTAGGCTTTTGGACTTCATAAAGCAACTTCATTTCTTCCTTAACTGTTTCGACTTCACTGTCAATCTGTTCTTTATGAGAATTAGTGACCTCTTCCTCTTCTTCAAGAATAAGGTCAATTAAGTTTTCATGGTTTGAGCAGAGCCTTGCTATCTCTTCATCACTAGGTGAGTCATACTCTTGAATTGGTGGTTTAGAAGCTGCGACCACCTGGTATGCATCTTCATATTCCTCCATATAGTCATCTTCATCGTACTCTCTCTTTCGTTCTTCCACAAAGTTGTTGGTCTTAGGCATTTTAGCAGAGACTTCTCTGTGAAGGTTTGGTTTCTTAAATGCTGAAGGCTGATGGATCTCCTCCCCCTTGCTGTTCATTTTGATCTAAAATTTAAATATCTTCAGAAAATATTTGCAAAATTTTTCCGAAATTTTCTAAAATCTCTTACTTTAGTGGCATTTCCCTTTTGTCTTGGAAGCATGAGCATTTTAGCAAGGTGATCTTCTTTGCTAATAGGAGCTGATTTCATCTTCTTCAGCTCTTTTACTCTATCGGCGTATCTCAAGGTGTTTAGCGTATGCTCACTGCATGAAAGACCAGGGGAAACATTAGCGATCATGACAGTCCTACAGTTGCCGATAAATGAGTCCTTCAGAACTTGGGTGAGCTTGCTACCTCTGAAGGGAGTATGCTTCTTCTCCTGGTCTATGGCTCTAATGCACTCCTTTAAAGCTAGTAATGACTTGTTGATCTCAGCTCCATCTATTCTGGTCTTCTTATCTTGATCTATTGTATCAGCTCCTCTTTCTGAGCCTGCTAAGTCGATAAATGACATTTTTGAATGTAGCTTATACTTTTTCTCTTGCTTTGTGTATCCTTTGTATCCTTCAAATATTTTGAAAGTGATTTGAAGTACTGCATGAGAACGAGAGGAATCTACATTAGCCCCTGTGACTCCAGTGGTTCTGACTGAGAGCCCATAAGATATAATTTTCATTAATTCATCAATCGTGGTGACATTGCTTTCTTTAAGACCCTGAATTTGAACTCTTTCTTTGGCATCAGCTCTGCAATGTAAGAACTTCCTTTTGTTCAACAGATCGAAGAGTTTAGAACAGTAGATTTCATAAAAAGAGACAAACAGTTCAATTCACTGAAACTCCTCCTGTTCAAGCAGGTGAAAGATGTCCTTTGCAGCCAGTAAGTACATCCCATTAATTCCTTGGTTAGGATTTCCCATCATTGTATGTGTCTTTCCACTTCCGGTCTGTCCGTATGCAAACACTGTTGTTTTTGAGCCTTCAAAAGTTGCAGCGACAAGGGGCTGTACTGCTTCGAGGTATAACTACAAATCATTGTTAGGAAAACAAGAAGATTTAAGCTTACCTGCTCATTTCCAACAGTATCGTTGAATACGGCATCAAAGGTGAAAAGATGCTGCTCGATATACCTAGTTAAATCCACCTTCTCTCTATAAAAGTGTAAGGTTTGGCCTCCATTAAATTTGAGTTACTTTCTTTCCTTGACAATGATGTTGGTATCATCTCTCTTTTCAATAATATCTAGGTCATCCTTGCTAATCTCTCTATATTTAATGAGAAGAAGTTTTTAAAACTGCTTACCTCTCACTGAGAGGCCTTTTACGCACAACAACGCTAATTCTTGGAGGGTCTCTGATATTATTTTGAGCCATAAGTAGTCTGTTAAATTAATTTAAATATTCAATTATTGCTAATCCTATAGGGGTTTTGGGGTTTTGGGGTTTTGGGGTTTTGGGGTTTTGGGGTTTTGGGG